AATCTCTTGTTTAAAGTAAGGGAGTCATTTATCTTCTGACAGTCTGTCTTACTTACTTATTTAACTCAAGTGTTTCAGTCGACACATTCACATGTGAACTATGCTATTGACGAGGTTCTGAACATCCCAGCTGTTCATAAAGAACCAAAAAAATCTTTCACATACTCACATACTTTTTAAGTTAAATAACATGTATACTCACAGCATGGCAGCAGCAGAGAAAGGCTATTAAATGACAATCTGCGTCATGAATGCACATGTACAAACAATGCATTTTCCCATATTGGTATAATGGTTTCATTGCCTTTAGCCCCTGTTTTGAATTTGTGTTAAAATGTAAACTTTGTTCCGACCAACAGTTGTTCCATTTATGCCATACAAATTACTTGTGTTTTTAGACTGAAATGACTCACACATTTCTCAATTTCAAGTAAGATTAATTAATACCCTGTGATTAGTATGAATAAAAACTTGAATAATCAAAATCTATTGTTGTAAAAGCACTCTTCTTCATGTAACAGACCATTACAACTACATTCGCAGCACAAATGAGTGAGGGATAATGCATGAAAACAATTGGCAAAAAATACTGGTTTAAAACAATAACAACCTGAAAATACAAATTTAACACATACATCATATTCATGGAGTCTCCACGTGGGCTTACAAAGTAAAAACTAACCCTGACTTGTTTGTTTACACTCAGACTTTAGGCTAACTTAGGGTGGTATGAGAAGTTACCTGGACGTGTCTGAAGGTAGCAGTGAGCTGGGTCATGTGCAGGGTGAGACACCTGGACGTGCATCTGGCGCTGTTGATTTTCTCCTCCACATCCTCCTGCTCCGGTGAACTCCTGCGGCCACCAGTCACCGCCAGCACCGCGCACAGGAGAACCACACCGGCACACCGGCCACAGGACATGGCAGACGTCGAGAGGATAAACGACAAAACAAACGTCAAGGAAAGACACAAGAGACGTTCACTGTCGTCTGGTCATGCACTGAAGCTTCTGTCAGTTACTCACTGATGACTGAGAGTGAACACGGAGCTGATGTTCCCGCCTTACGGACACTCCCACCGCCGGAGCAAGTGCGACCATGAGGAGTCAAAGTAAACCATTATTATAACTATATATTTTCATCATTAGTGTTATATTGTTATTTAGATAAGATTCGAGGCCATTATATCTTTGTAATTATCATTGGTATCACCTGTAGAACGTCTATCACCTGTACAACTGAAGTAGAGGTGCGGCTAAGACTTTATCCTTTTCCTATAACGCCGCCATTTTCGTAATTAATCTCTCCTCTTCCGTTAACGTTTAGTTTTAATATCTTAAAGTCTTAGTATGAAGTATATATTTGAAAACTGTTGTTCTGAAACACCAAAAAACCGAGGCCCATAAATTATAGCAGAAAAAATATATATTGGAGATGTATTTTCTTCTGTTTAAAATAATTAAGTTATCATCATTTTCAGGTGAAGCTGGAGCCAATCCCAGTCAGTGGTAGAAGATGGGCTACACTTGGAACAGTTCACTAGGGATTAGGTCGATGGACACAAATCAACCGGTGTTATAAATGTAAGTGAAATTATTTACCTTAAGAAGTACCATTTTCCCTGTAGTACTAGTACTGCTGTGGAAGCTTCGTCCCTTGTATTCTGTTCATTTTAGCCATTTAGACCCATTAATCACTTAAATTATAACTATATGTACTTTTCCCCTTCCTGTTGCATCCCTTCGTAAGTTGTTGTGACGTCATTCTATTCTTCATTATATTAAAAAAGCTATATCTTAGTATGACATAGGAGACGTTATACAAATTATTTTCTCATTTTTATCTGTATTCCTAAAAGTTAAGAAATTTCAACAATTTACAGTCATGTTGTAGAGTAGTATTTTCTATACGGTTACATTAGTAGAGCATCACTATGAATTATTTGAGTGTTTCTTTTCATCTCTAGACAGTTGTACACTATGAATTATTTCAGTGTTTCTTTTCATCTCTAGACAGTTGGCGTCTTGCCCTCTGGGATAATATGTTAAATTGTTAATTTATTTGTGGTTTTCATAATATCTTTGAATCAGAAAACTTTTAATTTGTGTTGTAATCTGTGCTGTGATTCTCTGTATCCGGCGTCTGAGGGCAGAAGTTCATTTAGTTGATAATTAAAGCTGGCTGATATGAGGAGTTAACGATGCCGGCGGTATTCCGCAAGCATTACGGAATGGAAAGTATTTAGTGCTTAATTTACTGCTTAATGATTACTAATAATGAATATTTTGTCTTTGTTGATGCTCCTATAATAAGAGAAGAAGTGAGAAGTGATTACCGAGGCCATCTTTGTTTTCATGATTATTATTATTCTTTTTTTAGCTCTGTTATTGAACCATTCTTTCTTTCATTCACCTCCATCATCATTAACACTGTTGTGCAATCCATAATAAACCCTGCTGTCATTGTCATCATAATCCTGCATGCCTGCATAACTGTCATCACTGTAGTACTGATGATCTTAAACTACGATAACAATGAATAACAAATATCCATCATTATAGACGCCTTAATAATTAATTTTACTCATCTTTATGTAAGACACCATACTGATTGTCATTATTATCTCAAACTAAACTTAATACACGATCTTAAATCATACGTGGATTGTTCTCACTGTGTAAATACACATACTTCTTCTTCGTCCAAATATGGTACAGCTATAACTATATAAGGAAAAGTAGAGGGAACAAAGGAATTATAGCAAAACGTTCCAGGACAGATGTTTAATTTCTAAAGGTGTCTGATTCTAATAAATTAACAATGTTAAGACACATGGACAAGTTTTATTTTTACATTTGTCAGGCTGTGAGTTGTGTTATATATAGTTTAGTAATGACAAATTTGAATAGAACTAATCCAGTAGAAACAAAGACAAAGGTTGAGTCCTGTCTAAAAGACATCAGAATTCTCTGATGGAAACAACAGTGTTGATCAGTTTTTCTTTACTATATGTATAAAAATAACAATCATTCCTTGGTGGGGTTTTTTTGGTGTTAGATTGGACAGATGTTTTAAGTGGTTTTTGAAGCCTCTGAATTTACTGAGAATTATTACTGGTCTATGTTATGACATAAAGCATAAAGCATAAAGATGACTATGTTACTACTTCAAGACATAAATATACATTTTAGTGAAAGGGACACTACTTAGTCCATTTGTGAACAATTAATGTGATGGCTATGTGTGCACACTTGACCCCAGAGGATCCAGAGGACGGCCCTAAATCAGAAAGCATAAAATCAGTTTTTCCACACATCGATCCTATCCAGCTTCTCGAGACACACACGCACACATACTACACACACGCATAGTAGTTTCCTACTAAATGTCAGAAATAATACTTCCATATATTCAAGAACACCTTCCTCATGTTTCTGTATAAACCCTTATAGAATAAAGACCTCCCTTCAACACATACTCAAACATAACGTAACATAACAGACGTTTCCACTGTCTCCACAACTGCTCTCTGATTGAAGCCAAATGTCTTTGAATTGTACTGATGGGAAAAGAAGGACAAAAACACAGAGGGAGACAGAGAGACAGAAAAAGTGAAAAACAACACATTGACCTAATTGGTTTTCTAATTACCTTTTTCATGTAAATAAATTGTATTATATATTATTTGCTCTTTGAATGTTATTTTTTACTAAAAATATATTTTAGGAAAGACTTCAGTCAATGAGCTGTTAGATGAAGTAAAACTACGAATCAGGCAGAAGGGACTGTGTATTTCTGCAATAGAAAGAGTAAAAATGCACATTTTCTTTGAGTAATGGCTTTTTTAATGGTCAGAGAGAATATTAGGTTTCATGAATCATGCTAAGAGGAGAAACTACACTGGTGCTCTTTGGTGATGTCATCCTATTTCTCAGTAACTGTCTCCTGGATCTTCACTGCATTCCACGTTAAAGGCAACACAACCCAGGGAAAAAAAAGAATCATGATTTTTGAAGTTCAAAACAGAAAAGCTGTTTTTAATTTACAAATTTTATCTTTTAGCATTTAACATGTCAGTGATCTAATCCAAATCTTCTTATCTTCTTAATCCCAAAATACAAAGTGGTTTCTCTCACGACGCCTTCATTACCATTTATTATCGTTATCATTCATGTCCAAGATTACTGATGTGGTCACAGATTATTCCCTGCAGCTGAAACTACTCACAGCTCATCTGTTACTCATCTACATTTCTCTCTCCTTCAAAGTTTTCAACACCGCCATTTTTCAAGCCATGGTGCAGAGAGCCAAAGGTGGCTCATTACACATCCTCTACACCAATAATGGCAGCCATATCAGATTCTTTGAACACATGATTAAAAATACTTTATTACAAGGATTTTTGTGGTTATTTTACATGGAATGGTACACTATGATGTACTTTTTTTAATTTTATCTTAAGACCAACATCCTAAGCTGCTTGTTTTTGTGTCCTAGCAGCCGCCAACCAAAGAGTGTCTTCTTTGTAAAATTCTGGAGGATGTTTTTCCCACCAGGTCACGATCTAAGGTTTTGTGATAATGTTTTAGTCTTTTTTAGAAAATTAAGTGATTCATTTTACAGGGTTTTTTTTTTTTACAGTTGAGAAAGTCAGTTATATATAATATTATATAATATTAAAACTGATCATTTTTGATCGTCAGTATTTCAAATATTATAAAATATGTAAAAACTATTGGAGATACCAGGGAGATGAGATTTTTTTAAATAAGTGATTCATTTTACAGGGTTTTTTTTTTTTACAGTTGAGAAAGTCAGTTATATATAATATTATATAATATTAAAACTGATCATTTTTGATCGTCAGTATTTCAAATATTATAAAATATGTAAAAACTATTGGAGATACCAGGGAGATGAGATTTTTTAAAATTATAATCATTTGTCTTAGAATGTTTTAAACAACTCTCATATACTTAAGCCATCTTTTATGTGTTGGACGTCCCTTTATAATAATAGTTCAGAGATAGTAATCAGCTGCATCAAACAGAAATCAGCCTTTTAGCAGTCTGTTTTTTTTTCAACTGCAATCTTGAGTATGAAATCACTATCATTTTCTTATAAGACCTCCCCTTAACAAGTAAATGAAACAGTCAGTTCGTGAAAAATGATCCCTGATATTATGACTTGTTTAAAGAGTTCATTTGGCAAAATTCAGGTTAATTACATGACCTTCAGAGCACTGCCAAAACATTATTGTGTTACTTTAATTTTAATCAATTCAATATCTTTTGTGTAGTTTCTGGTCATAGAATTTAGATTAATGAACTGTATCATTAACCGTCATGTGTGATTGGTTGGTACGCAGCGAACGATGGTGGGACTAGAGGAGCTACAGTGCCACTATGTGGCCGTAGAATACAGGTGCAGCTTCTATTTATAGTAAGTTCTGAAACCATCCACACCACTAGTTGGCGCCACTGCAGCAAAGCCTAGTCTTTAAACTGACTGAACCAAAGTAGAATCGTGGCGGATGTTTATTATTGGTGCTAAACTGGAGTTGACACAGGTCTTATGTTTTACTGTTGTTGCTCTATTTTACCCGGTTGACACGCGTTAGCGCCGCTCACAACGTAGAGGATAGTTAACGGTGAATTCACTGACAGTTTTAAAAACCGGGTACAGTTAGAATGCGCGAAGGCCGATGTTAATCGAATCTAGTTTTGTCTAGGTGTAAGTTAAAATTATTATTGTACTTTTTAACGGTCGTTACTGGACAAGTTGACCTTATTTGTATCCACTACTGTATTAGTATTTATTTACCGACTATTTCCTGAAAATTTCGTGAACTTTTCCCTTTTTTTAAGGAACCACATCCCCTGCTTGTAACCAAATACTATATCCCAAATAATGTCGTTAACCTTTCGATTACGACTCTGACTTCTGCAGTCTGTAATTAATATTATTTATTAAGTGCAAAGAAATAGAACCACAGACAGGTGCGTTAATGTTCGTTTAATCTCTTACGATTCAAACAACATGACAGAATGTTGATTTTTTATTTATTTTGCCATAACATCATTTCCCATAGAAGATAATTGTTGTGTTTCTACAAAAATATACACAGCTAAATGTCTAAAAAGTCAAAGAAGAGAAAACGCAGGGAGTCGTCTTCTTCCAGCGAAGATAATAAGGTGAGTTGTGGGTTTCTCTCTCTCTCTCTGTGCTCTTATTATTCTTTGCTACTTTATCTTCATATGTTGTTGAATCTTTTATACTATTAATTGCTGCATTCATTCATTTGTACATGTCATTGAATACAGGTGTGTATCATTCACGTTCTCCTGGTATCATTCAGAACTTCAAAGTTTTTTAGTCTTAATTATCCCTGGGTTTTCTTTTTACATCCATACATGTGGTATTTACATTACAAGCTTTTGCTTGTCTCTTTTCTTTAAAGTGCTTATTTTACCATATATTTTCTTTACTGTTACATGGTTTTTGAATAACTAATACCCAGTGTTTAGTAGTTCAGTTTAGAGTAAAGTAATTTTATAATGTTAACACTAAATGTATCATCTGCTGAAGTATATTAGTATAGCCCTATTACATATTGTTTGTGGTGCTTGTTATTATGTACTGCCATTGTTGATAAATAGCTTAACACACTTGTCACAAACATGGGCTGGGTGCTGTTGTTGAGATATAACATTTTTCTTTTTCAGGCATCACCACAAAAATATGTTTCCAAGAGTGGTACAAGTGTACACAGAAAGGAGGACAGGTAAGACCATAAAAGGTACAATTATTACTTCACTGTTAACAATGATGTGTTACAGTATTCTGTACGTGTGTTTTTTGTGTTCAGCCGGAGGAAGGAGGAAAAGTCTAAATCTTTCCAAACTAAACATGATTCCAGAAGCAGCCGCCCAATCAAAAAGCCTGTTTACAGGCTGGAAAAAAGAACATCAAGTGACCAGAAGTCTCACGATAAGACGAAAAGTCACACAAAAACAGAAAGTGTGTCTGTGTCATCCTACGGGGGAAGTTGCTCTGATAAAGAAACAACTCGTCATAATTCAAGGAAGGATAAAGCTGTCATTAAGAATGAGACTGTGCAAAGACGTTCAAAATGTCCAAGTCCTGACGCTACAGATGCAGCAGTCCAGAAAAATGCTAAGAAATCTCAAAGCAACGTTCAAAATGTCCTGACGCTACAGATGCAGCAGCCCAGAAAAATGCTAAGAAATCTCAAAGCAGCCAGGATGAAAATTCCCATACGACAAGTTGTAAGACACCGATCAGCCACAGTTTTGTTCCTGTTGAACAAAAGAAACACAGACAAGATAGAGAATTGAAGAAATGCAAAGCTGAGGAAGTAAGAACTAAAACAACCAGTATTGAGAGTAGTGGACCAAGCAGGACCTTGCCTCCATTACAAGACTCCTTTGTAATGGAGAGAACGAAGCTGGTCACAAAGATGTGTCAAAGACATCGAGACGATGTCAAGAACAGGCTCGTTAAGATAAATGAGACATATTCTGCTTCTTTAAAAAAACACACACTGTGTGCTCCCACTGAACACACTACCTTGGATAGGAGCAAAAATATGTTGAAGAATTTTGATAGCCTCCCAAAGAGTTTCATACCATTGTCAGAAAAGACAGCTAGCCCATCATTGGCTAAGGACAAATCAGACTCTTTGGGAACACATCTTCGTTTCAGTTTTAAAATACCAAAAAAGGTTAAACCAAAGCCACTAGAACGGCCTAATTCTTCTGCAAAGAATTGTATTGTGCAAACCCCAAAGGTTTCAGAATCTGGGACCAAAATAAGTAAATGTGAGACGAGGACCAGACAGGAGAGCCTGAATGTTAGTCCTAGTTTTTCAACTGAAAGAAAGGACAAAAGTTCGTCTTTGTCTGAGCAAATCCCCTCTGTGATAGAGACCATTCCAGAGTCAACGTCTGACCAGGTAATTATGAGCTTTTTACATATTAAATCAGGCAAGATGTTTTCAAGCTTTCATCAATAATGCTAATTGATTTTAAATGTGGTTTTCTTTAGATGCAAGTGGTGGAAGAGCTTCACCTCGCTCGCACTGAGAAAAAATTGGAAGTGGATGTTTTGCAGAGCTGTGGAGAACTGACCTGCATGGAGATAGACCCACCAGAAGAGGAAGCAAGTAAAGAATACTGTTAGTTCATCTATTTCACTTTGTGGACACATGAAACTCAGAACAAATAAATAGTTTATATTTAATGTGCCATCTGACAGGTAAACAATCCTCTCAGCAAGACCTTATCCTGGTTCTGGACACCAACATTCTCCTCAGTCACCTGGATTATGTGAAAAAGATCAAGTCTCAAGGCCTTGGAGGTATAAAAATATTTATCATTTTGAAATGTCTGCAATTATTTTGTCAAATTGTATTGGTTGTTTAATATGTTTTATAAGGATTTAAAGAATACATTTTTTAAGCTCCAATGCATTTATCACAAAGTAAAGAAAACAAAATCTACTACTATCCTACTGGTTCTACTATCCTATTGGTTCTAATACGTTTTACACTGTGTACCACCTCCAGAAATATTTGGTGGGTAACACCAGAGGGAGCCCAAGTACCCCCAGTGGAATGTTTAAAATAAATAAAATAAGAATTGAATTTCTTTTGAAATGATCAGATACCTGCTAAACAGAAATGTTTTGAAAACATAAATAATAATGCAGTTATTAAAAACATGAATGTAAAGACTAAACCCTTTCTTCTTTGTCATGCTATCGTAGCCCTGGGTTCTCCTGTGGTCCTGATCCCCTGGGTGGTTCTTCAGGAGCTGGATTCCTTGAAGAAAGGAAAAGGCCTGTCAGGATCCGTAGCACACTTGGCCATTCCTGCAATCTCTTACATATACAACAGCCTAAAGAACCGTGAGGTGAACCTGTGGGGGCAGTCGATGCAGCAGGCCTCAGAGAGTAGCAGTAAGTGTTGATGGAAGGAGCTGTAAACAGAGACTTATGAATATTCATTAAAAGCACAGATGGAATGTGAAGATGACTGATGTCATGAGCTCATCAGATTTTCAAATCACGCTTTTTGGTGTGTGTTTCCTTAATAATGACAATGACATATTTTATTCGTTTCCTAATGACCTGTTCTAAGTGTGTTTCCTTAATAATGACAATGACGTATTTTATTCGTTTCCTAATGACCTGTTTCATGCACTTCAATACCCAAATTCAGTACCCAAATTAGAAGGTGAGCCCCCTAGGTAGGTGCACAAAACTAAAGTTGGGGGAAGATATAATACTAATTTTGATATATTATTTCTTTGTCCAAGGTGAGCATTTGCTCTGATGTTCTAATTAGATTTTCTTTGGTCAATAAAATTAGCATCTTTGAAGTTGTCAGATTGATTTGTCCCCAGTGTTGACCATAGAAATATCTTTTCGCATAATTGCAGCCCTAGAATTGCAGGGTTTTGTAACATTTCTGACTTATGCTGAGCTAAAACAATCTAAACATAAGTACTCTGAGATTATTTTTTTTAGTCCTTGCCATCATCCTGTTCTTCATTATATAGTTTTAACATAGATACGTAGTGTTGATACATACTCTAGTGTACAGAGCTGTTACTTCCTTTTTTCATGGTTTATTTCTTCTCTTCCTCTTTGTCTACTGAAGAAAAAAGAAGACAAGCTGTACTTTTTCTGTGCGAGACGTTAATGTGCTCACTCTGTGCCTTCACTGAATTAGTCATGTCTTTGTCCTTATTTGGACTGTGGTGTTTTTGTTCTCTGTCCCTGTCGTCTTCTTGTTCCTTCCTCTTCATCTGCTCTGTGCCTCTCTGTCCCCAGATTGCCTGACCGCTGAGAATAATGATGACAGGGTTCTGCAGTGTTGCCTGCAGTACCAGAGTCTGTACCCAGAGTGCGCTGTCATCCTATGCACGTGAGTCCCCCCTGCTCTCTCTCCCTACCTGGGCTGTTTTTCATGCTGCTTGCAACAGCAGAGTCAGTGTCCTCAGCACATAATGCACATGCATGTGACTGTGAGTGGGTTTCAACCAGATAGTTCCAGTCGGGATGAGAGGGAGATGGAGCCAGACAGAGTAATTGAGCAAGAATAGATGAGCTGAGTGCAGGAATTTTTCAACTCAATAGAACTGTCTGTTATTAACCCACATTCTTTCCCTGTAGCTTCCAGAAACTGCTGTTGTGTCTCAATGTTGTTTTGGTCAAATTTATGTTTGCTGTGTTTGTGCTGTTCCTGGCAAAATGAATAAATAAACCACCCTTTCTTTATTTGCTTTATAGTAATGACAAAAACCTATGCAGTAAAGCCTTCCTGAGTGGAGTGAAGGCCCTCAGCAAGAAAGACCTAGAAACAGAAACTTGGAGAACCAGTAATGGACTTTGGCTGCTGCAGAACATTCAGACTCCCGTGCTTCCTCACACAGACTCTCAGAGCTCATCGTCGATGCTGAGCAGGAGTTTCACACCAGCACAGCCACCTATTCAGGAGAGGGCAGACCTTTCTGTGGGACTGGAATTAAAATGTGAGCCAGACTTTTAATTTTTTTTCTTTCAGTACAAACAGGAAAGGACTTGGCACGCTCTGTCATATAGCACTCCTTACTGTCCAACAACTTACCACCCACTCCTTCCTGTTTCCCTTTTTTCTTTTCCTTCCTTCCTTCACCTGTAGTATGTTTTATATTTGGGTAATAGCCTGGAACAACACCTTTGAAACACTTTGTAGAATAAAAATAAAGGAAAACTTCAAAATCAAATCCTAACTTACTTAGTTTAACTGTTGTTTTTAGTGAGGCAAGAAAACTTTTATTCTTAAACATATTTTGTTCTGCATGTCTGTTAATGATAACAGATGACCACCAACTCACCAGCAAAGAAGCAGAGGAGGTGAAGGCTGAATGGGACCTCGGCAGATGTTTGTGTGAACTAAAAGATAATCTGAAGGAAGTACTGTCTGATGTCCTCCAGGTGGAGATGAAGGCTGTTTATGAAGAGTTGTGGTTAGAGGTGAGTTGTCTTTTTTATATATTAAATGTCCACATTGTGTACAATGATTTCGACCCTGAAGGTAATCCTTTTATTGAACTTTCTTGTGTAAACAGATTGTTTATCTTAAACCGCCCTGGACTCTTCAGGATGTCCTCCAGTGTTTGAAGAAGCACTGGATTGCTGTCTTTGGGCAAATTGTTCCACGGAAAAAACTTCAAATAGTTTTATATCTCATAGACTTTTTTAACTCAGGTACGTATAGCTGAAAGCAAAGAACATTTATTTTGTCATTTATAAACACCCGCAAGTGTTAAATTTCAACTGTATGTAAAAAGATTATGAGAATTAATTTGAATTTTTGCATAGTGAATGTTTTCCCATGCAAATTTGACGTTGGGTTTCACCCAGCAGCTAAACCTATATTAAAACAAACTCTTAAACATTCACTGTTCAAACTTAGTCCACTATAGAAGCTGCGTAGTTTAGCACACCTTATACTAAAATGTTAAACAATGTGTGGGTCTCAGTTTTTCACGTGTCATTTGTTGAAAGTGAACAAATTGTGTGGTGTTGTAAAACAGCATGCAGCTTCTGTATACTGCCCTGCAGGGGGTGCTACAAAGGCGGTTTGAATGAATGCCCTGTCGAATGAGCTGAGTTGCTCATTGATTTTTATTAACCTACTGTAACTATAACCTTGCTTCCAGGGACTACTTCATAAAAGTAAAGCATCTCTGGATGGCTGTTAATGTTGAGTCTGTACACCAACACTGAGCTAATATATATTAATAATAATTTATAATAACTTCTTTCCTGTACCTTTATCCCGTCTCTCCCTCCAACACCAACTAGATCTTGTCTTTTATCAGCAGCTGGTTCCCTCAGAAACATGACTTTTTACTAGTATTTTCCCAGAAGTCTGGATAACACGTAAAAGAAAGGAGAAAAAGATTAGATAAAGGCATAAGGCAAACTTCCAGCACATGAATACGTCACCATACACTGGTGGCCCATACAAAGGAGAGGATAAAAAAAACAAATATTAAATTGTGTATGTTGTTGTTCTACTTGCCAGGCTTTTAATAAACTGATTGTTACAACCTTTAGTTTATTCCCACTTTTCCAAAATTTAGGCCCTAGAAAATGTTTATTTTTCTTAGTGGGCAGAGGCATTAAGATAGCGACTTATCATCTAGTTAAAAGGTTAACATCGCTGGAATTTGACATCTAACCTCCACTGTGCCACAAGCCCACAGAACTACATTCAGAATTAGGTCATAAGCAGAGTAAAGCAGGACATAGAGATGTGGGTTAGGCTGATGCTGAGTCATATAATTGCAGCTCTGGACTCTGATCCCACCGTTAGAGCTCATTACTATGTTTACACTTTTGCATGTCTGAGATTTATCCAACTACGTAAAGTGATGTCTGCACTACTGACCCTCAGCCACAATGGTAAATAAACTACACCAATCAGATTTCAGGTTTCTCCCGTGTCACCTTGTTAGCAGCACGACTTTAGACCTCAGAGAACCAAACAGCTTGGCTATGTGCCGGGACTTGCAGAGTACGTGAAGAAAGGGAGGAGGAGCGAGGAAATGAAGGGGGGATGAATTGTGCATGAGGCTCGGGACAAATGTGGAAGTGGAAAAGTACTTTCTGGTCTCCCGTGAGCACCGTGCTATGTATGCAGTCGCTTGAAGCCGTAGTTGTACACCGAGTGCAGACACACACTCCTCACATCTGTTACGCAGTTGTACATGTTCTTATTCTTTTGTCACACTCAAGTGCTGCTCATATGATCGCTCCTACACATGTAGTTAATGCAAGACCCCCTTCTGGAATCTGTCAGAACCCCTATCCTCCCATTATACATCTCTTACATAAAAAAAACCTCATGACATATTTTTATATTTTTCAGGTAAAACTGCGGACAGAGCTGCTACATTAACAGCGCTTCAAGAAGCCAGGGAGCTTGTGAAAGCATTTGCGAATCGTTCCAGCCTTGTTCCCAGTGCCATTGTCAAAATAGACAAAATGATCAAGTCTGTGGAACCCCAGGTCCATGTTTCACCGCACTTCTCAACAATCACAGCTCAGTTTACCGTTGAAGTCTATCAGGAAAGTGTTGAATTTAACTTCTGCTCTATATGTATAGGGGGAACCTCATCTGAATTCTTGCGATGTTGTGATGAATGATGAAGACGAAGACAGGCAACTCATACAGACTCAGGTCACTCATCAGGAAGTTTGGGCCATGTTTGAGAACCTCTGGTGTCACGTGTATCAGCTCAGGTTGGTGTGATGGTGATGAACAATTCAAAAAAGATTAAAAACAGATAATCTGATTTTATCTTTTTAAATGGAAACCTAGAGAGGTTTCCTGGCCACTTCCAGGTAGTAAACTAAATACAGACTATATATTTGATGATAAGATTAGCAGGAAGTGAATGATTTGTCCATTTAAAAGGTATTTATTAGATTAGCAGGAAGTGAGTGATTTGTCCATTTAAAAGGTATTTATTGCTGGAAGTAAACAGAACCTGTCAGACCACAGTCTGTTCTCATTCTTAGAACTGAAGCAAAGGTTGTGTGCTGTGTATTGAAAACAACATTTGGGATGTAGTTTATTTTGATTCGCATTATCCTCTTTCCATTAAATTGAACTCTGGGGTCATGATTTTCTGTCCTCTTTCAGTCTGGAAGTCTTTAAAGTGCTGGGCTTTGACTCAAACACCATGCAGAGCCTCCAGACTGCGGGATGCTCTCAGCCTCCACAGGACGCCATGGCCTGTTTGCACAAACTTTCCTCCATGGTGTCACAGCTGCTTCAAGCCTTCAGCAGGTATCTGAGCCGTCTCATCACTGTTGTCTGCCTGACTGGAACAATACTCTCTTCACTAATTTATTTAAGGTTTAATGAAGGTGAAATCTCTCTCTATCTCTCTTTTCCGCTCTCTCAGACTTCACCTGATTTCTTAGGTGTCTCTCACCTTTGCCCTGACCCCTTTAAAGATGTCCTTAATCAGCCCTGTACAACTTCCCGTGTCATGATTACGTGTGCATGTCCTGTCGTATGACCTCACTACGCTAAGGCCCTATTTGACAAGCAGGCTTGGCCCCCTCTAATCTGCTTGACCTTGTATCTTTGCCTTATCACCTGTTCTGTGATGCAACAGGCAGCTCTGTGCTGAGGCACAGTTTATCTTTAGGCACAGATTTCACTAGAAACCTGTGTTTGACACAAAGTTCATTGGTTTGTCTTTTACACTATGAGTGATGTGCAGAATGTGAATGCACTGTCTGACAATGTCTTCTGCCATCCAATATAAAAGTCATTCATTTTCTTTTCAGGATTTCATTTGTGATGTTTAGCCTCGATTTGGTTTAGTTGTTTAACTTTGTCCACTCTTTAAACCAAGTGTCACTTCAAAACCCCTACTGCAGACAAGATAACTCATGTTATTAGCAATTTTTCGGTTGCATTTTGTGAATTTCAGTTACATCCAATCCAATTGCTGTTGCGCCAGTATGCAGTTTGAGGACGTGTTTTCATCTAACAAATGGGTTTGTTATTATAGTCATTATAATACAAGTCATTATAGTTTTATCTAAATAGCTTTGTTTTTTCAGGACATGCAAATCAGGCATCAACATTATTTAGATAACACTATCTCAGAAAACACCCAATTAAATTATTAAAAACTGGTGCAGTGGTGAATGTTCCACAACCTGTGCTACCCTTATCCCTATTTTTGTCCTGGAATTTTTTTTATCAAGTTATGTGTATGTCTACGCTTCTTATCTGTGTGTGTGTTTGTATGTGCATGTGGGTGTTGGTCTGCTCGACAGTACAGTTTCCAAGGAGACAGCCAGACTAATTTTCACGTGTCGCACGTGCACAGTTATGATTCATCTCCCAGCATTTCTCTATGTTGCTCATTTTCTTACCTTCTGCTGATGCCGAAGGCTGATGTATTTACATTCAGGCTCTAATGATCTTCATGAGCATGTTTCCCTTCTCATCTTCTAATCCTTTTCTGTCAATTTTTTTTATTGTTTGTTTGTTTGTCTTCATGGGGTTGACAGTTTTATTAGTGTATGTGATTACTGTCAGCTGTGCCCTGTCACTGAAACTGGGGTTAGAATAACAACTGCATGCAGCTAAAAAAAAGATCATTTAGAGATTATGTGAAGCTGCTGTTTCCACCTGTAGAGTCTAAAGAATATTTAAGAGCTGTGCAAGGATTTTTTAAACATATCTTTAATTACCCTTTACTGCAGCAGCTTCAAAACTAAACAATACTATTTTTTTTTGTTTGTTTGTTTTCAGTGTCCTGTCCTTAGACCTGTGTTTGGATAAAGTCCAGGACCTGTTCAGTATTATTCACTCTAACAAGGTTGGTGTCATTCTTACCATTAGTCTGACAGTAAAATATTATTTTAGGTCACTTGAATTGTTTACATCTGAAGCAAAGGTCTTGCATAATGCTGGACATTTTGGACATTTGGGAGTGTTTGTCTATTGTGTCACACATTTACAGGATGTTGCAGATTAGGTAAGCAGCAGTTACTATCACATCCCGTGTTTTTTTTACTCTTTTTTAGAGAAAGAAAGGTTAACTGAAAATATAGCAAAAATAGCAGAGGTGGCTTAAAAAGCTACAAATAGTCAAAAGCTAAGGGTTTAGTGCTAAACTTTATTGACCTGAAATAAAATGCCCATTAAGATTTCCTACGTTTCCTACACAGGTAAAAACGTGTTGTAATTCACCTTCACTAAAGCTTGTTTACACTGTTTCAGATCATTGCTGTAGATTCCAGATTGACTGCCACAGACCTACTTCATTGTTTTGCACAGCATGAATACAGGTAGGAAAAAAAACTCTCTGCCTCTACACTGGTTTGATTTAGTTTAAAATAAAGCAGGAAAACAAACCCTTAGATACATTTAAGACAGCAACAAATGACCACCCTGTTTATTAATAGAATACTGTATAGTTTGGCTCAAATCTAGAAAAGTAATAAATGTTGGAAAATGTTCAAAAGGAAAAAATGTGTATATCAATACAGTTTTATGTCATGGAGGCGTGTTAAAGCCTCACCAAAGTTGTAGAAAATGATTTGAAGTCAAAAGTGTTATTTATTCACTTCTAAGTCATCCTTCCGTTACCGGTCAGAAATGACACATACACACTGAGACAGGTCCGTGTGTCCTTTGTCACATCACGTCCAGGCATGTTGTTGTTACTGTGTAACACAAGACCTTTGCCTAAATATCCCCAGCAGAGCTTTAACAATGTTGGTGACCATGCCAACAGTTCCAAACACCTGTGGCACAAACAATTCACTTGTCTCCCTGAAGGAACACTGACTTGAATAAGGAACTGGGCACAGCAGCTTGTACCTGGGAACCATTCAGTGACTCTGGGTAGTTCACCTAGATCACAAATGCCTCTATTCTTCTTCTTAAACACTTAAAAAAAATGATCAGATGAGTGATTGTTAAAGGCTCAGGATTTATCTGTTGTGTTAATCTGTTAGTTCTACGAGGTGAGGGTGTGAGAGAGAGTGTAAACAGGACCAACACAATAGGCAGCCAGTAGACTTTATTTAAACAGGCCAGAATAAACAGAGCTGCCACATAAACTCAAATAAACCATCATAAAGGATCTACTTGTAATGTCTGGAAAAGATCTGAGTGGCCGAGCAGCAGATTGTTAACTGCGGTCTGTATTAACCAGCGGTATCCGTGTGGAATGTTGTATGTCATTGGTATGTTTAACTGAACTACAGAAATATTTAGAACAAGGTACTATAGCAACAAAAAATGTCTTATAAAAATAACTTAGAAATGTTGCAAAAATGACATATTATAGGATGTAGTAAATAAGAATTAGGGCTGAAATAGAAACTAAAATAACCATAGAATAGTTTACAAAGTGGTGTAACGTACATATGGTACTTTAACAGTACCATACACTGGTTTTACAGTACCATACACTGATGTCACTGAATAAAAATGAACATATAAATATTCACTCGCGGCACATACACAAGCAATATAACTGTGCCCTTTCCCTCTTCTAGTTTATCATGTTTTGTCCGAAGCTTGAGTGCTGCTATTTTTATAATCTGCCATGATAACAAGCCATACTTGCACGTACTTAACAGATTATCAGTTTCCCAGCCAGGATGTGATCTCAGTCTGCTAGTATAATTTCCCTTTTTATTTGTTTTTAAAGAAGTGGTTTTCTTGCCTAGTGCAATGAAACAGTGCCGCATGAAACTAAATGTATTCACATCATCATCAAACTCATCACTTCATTTGAAAGAGCTCTGCAGGCATTGAGCATTCACATCATAGCAACATCATTTTAAAAAAGAGCCCTGATTTTAAAAGACTGACCGACCAAGCTGTGATTGTAAACCTTTTATTTGTCATACTCGCAGTGAAGTGATCTTGACGTTTGCCCAGTGAGTACGTCATCCTTGGTGTTAAATAATTAATTTCTGTACACAGTGCCATGGCGTGATGTCAGAAGTTATGTAAAGCAATAAGGAGAACTTGTTCTGGATCGTGATCATATCATTGACAGAGAGCTTACAATAAACAGTGGCCTTCCCATCAGATAAGATTCCAAGGAAGTTGTGAAACAGAGACATGAGAGAAATATTTTTTTTCTGTGCTACTTCTCAAACTAAGAAAAAAACAAGTTCATGATGTGAAGATTGATTTAGAAACAGGGCTAATGCTTACAAGCTTGTGGTAACAGTAGATGTGCATACACAGCAGATTTTTTTATATAATTATTAGGGCAGTCAAAACATTAACCATGATAATTAATATGTACAATTGATCACATCAAAATTTTCCAAAGCATTTTTGCACATGGGCAAAACAACTGGCACTGTATATCCAATAAATTATTATCCATCTTATTGTTTCCCCCCTAATAGTCAATAGAAATGTTGTTATTTACAGTCTTTCTGAACCCATCTGAGTTTTTAATCAAGTGTGACGGAAGAGAACAAAACATCAGGCTAGTAACCTGCAGCCTCGCACGTCTTCTCACTTGTGACTGTTACTTCTCTGAGGACTTTAATGGTACCAGGAAACATTTCTCCCTTGTTGTGTGTATAATTTTGCAGATTTTAGATATGGGAAAGTCGTCAGGGCCGAGACAATTCTTAGACCCGTACGTCTAAGACGATTAGAGGAGAACAATTTCTCCAATGTCGTCTCTGCCTTTCTTTTCTCACATAATACCCTGTCACTAATCATTTGTTTATGAGTTGCTGGTGTTATTCCCTGAATGTCAATCACCAGAGTCATCTGCTCCATTTGCCTGAAATCATTTAAGTACAGAATGGAAAATGTTGGAATTGTTCTCATAAGAATCTTTTTCATGTCTCACTCTTGTCCATATCACTCTTTAAAAATAATTTTTAAAACTCAGTGAGAATTTATACCTCAGATCAAAATGAAATAAAATAACCTTGTCCAACATGGAGGACATGTTGTGGATGTGTTTATAAAAAAATAAAATAAAGAACAGGTTTAATAATTGCAAAATTGATTTAAACAAATCCATATTTGACCAAAAGCACAAAACATTCCGTGTGTATCATTATAACCCAGCTGAACTGTATTTGAATAATGTCTATTGCATCTAGACTTAGTTAAAGTCCTGAGGATTTTAACGCAGCATTGACAGAACTGGGCGTGCATCAAATGACACTTTTGTAGCAGGTCACAGTTGATAGTGTTCCCAGAAATGCATTCAGTCCTGAACACAGCCCTGAGGTGTGTTTAAGTTAATTATAGGCCAAACACATGACTAGCGTTTGACTCCATGGAAGATGATATGAAAAGCCAATGGCTCCTTGGATTTCTTGGATTTATCTAATCCTTAAGGCCCAAGTTTCCTATAGGTCTTCTTTACAGAAGAATTCTCAGAGATTGTGCAAATAGATTAAATAAGTATGAGATGTCTCACTAACACTGAGAAGTGTCAGATCAAACAAAGAATGATCTGGTTGAGTCTTTTGAAGACGTGATCTTTGTTCTGCTGTTACACTAGTCCTTTTAAGACTCTAGTTCAATAATCTTCTTTGGGATCTTCCTCTTTTCTCTCGTCTGCCAGCTCCATCTCCAGGTTCTTCTCTTCATTATCTTCATCCTCCCAAACCATCTAAACCTTGCGTCATCATTTTCATTCTCAATCTGCTGAACTACTGCTCTCTGTCTGATTTGCTAATTTCTCATCCTGCACATCCTGGTCAGTGAACATCTCATCTACATCTCTGCCACTTCATACTCATTCTCCTGCTTCAACATGCATCGGTCCACGTATGTCCTTAGATCTGGAGTGTGGTTTCCAAACAGGATTGGCTGGTAGAGAACAGTCATCGGTTATGTCATCCAGTACTGAGTTCAGTTCAGTGAAATGAATTTCTGTCTCCAGAGGGAAATAGATCAACTACCTGTCAAACTGTTATGTAACAGTAGCCAGGCATCATTTGCTTCTATGGAATTGTCTATTGCTGTCAGTGACCCTGTACTGTACACACCTGTCACTTAGCTTGTGTAAACACGTATAGAAGAAAATAAGAAATGCAATGTCAACAGTATTTCAACCATGGGTGTATAATGTTATATGGAAATAGCTTTTATGGAAAAATACATTAGTTCTGACAGAATAACACACCCTGGGAGTGGACAGTGTGCAAAACCACCTGTCTATAAAGGTTAAAATAACAGGCAGGCGTCACATTTGGACATAGATGAGAAGGAAAATAGAAGAAATTATGGCTACAACACGGAGCAAAGTCTTTCTTTCCTCTACTCCGCGCTGCAGTTACATAACAGCTCAAAGAAAACAAAGAAGCGGCAACCAACTCCCTGTGCGACTCTGCTGCTTAGCAGCCGTTACCAAGACTCCAGTCGACCTGTGTGTGTGTTCACATTGAAGTCAATTTTACGTGTGTAGCTGGTGAATTTCCTTATGCATACATAAATGGTTTTGTAACCAAACAAAAAAGATGTAATTGCGCCAGGGAGAACAGAGCACAAAAAGCTGACTTGGGAATGTGTGGCTTTTAGCAGCAGCGGCTCAGACAGAAACTCTTTTGTCTGTCACCAAGATTCGACCATCAGCACAGAAAGGTCATTCAGAGACAGACAGTCTGTACAGAGTAAATTATGATCGACTTGCTCCATTCAAGGTAAAATTCTACAGCCCACAACCCACAGCTGCCTGTGTGAATAGGTTCATACGTCTGAAAAGGCAAATAGAAAATAAAAAACATTCACTGTGAAAGTTTCCACTTTTGACATGAATTTAACCCTGTAACACTGTGAAAACTGTTTCAGTAAGAAGAAGTTAAACATTTAGGTTTGGAAGTTTGTGCTTCGTTGGATAAAAGAAACGTGACAGATACACATCTGACTCAGTCAGTCACCATTTCCATGTCAAATGGATTCTGACACAGTCCAGAACTTTACTGTTAGATGGCGCCGTTCTGCTCTGAGAAACGTGACAAAATGTTTCACATAGCAATTTTAAACATAAGCGACTCATCACACTAATAGGTGTTATGTGGTCAGATACCTGATGGTAACTAAAGGTCTTTCTGGATGGAAGTTGCATGTTCTCCCTTAGTGTGCGTCTGTTTTCTTTCTCCAGTAAATCCAGTTTCCTCCCACGGTTCCTTCTTTCTGCTCCAAATGTGGAGGTCATTTAACTAATCTTGGAACTCGTTTACCGTTGTCCATTTTGTTACTCCAATTGTCGCATCTGTCTGTTTGTTGGTGGCAGTGATTTTGAAAATCTAATAACCTTGTTAATAACTGTGGTTTCAGAGAGAAGTTGGGAGTTGGGGGGACCCAGTTACTGTGGCTAAAGGAGGCCCTGGATCGTTGTGCTGGGGCCATGGGTCAGAACACCACCTTCACTACACAGCCTGAATGGAATAATGCTGATACAAGTGCACATCAACAAAACAGAAGCCTCTGATAAATGGATATTGAGTGGGGGAAAAAAGGATGAAATGGTTTTGGTCTTTTCCAGTGCCTACAGAGAGTCTAATTTGATTTTTTTTGGTCACGGGACAGACACGAGGTGGTTTCCATTAGTCTGGATGGAAACTCATTTGTTTAACAAAGCCTGTTTGTTCTGAGCATTACCCAGAAGCTAAGTTCTGTTTGTTTTGTTGTTTTGTGTTTCTTGTCATATACTCACACTTGGTTTCCAATTAAGTAAAATTAAACAAGACTGGATTATAGTCAATGGGCTGTGGACTCAAAAATTATGGAAGTCCAGGTTGGCAAACTTTGAACCTGAGTTGTTAGTTTGTATCTACTCAGATTGTTTGGACCTTCATTCAAGCCTCAAAGAGGCTCTGTAATGTTTCAGGGCTGTATTTTAGCCTGTGTCGTTACATCAGGCAGAGTCATTGGATAGTGAGTTTGTCTCATAATTACAGTGAACAGTAAATTAGTAACAATTTATTTGACATCCCAGTTGTCATATGCAAAAAATATAGATGTTCCTTGACTCATGTCACTGTAAATTCTATTTCATGAAAGATGAATAGTCTTGTAACTGTACTTCAAACCAACTCAAAGTCTGTTTCTTTCTTCTTTCTGTTTCTATTTCTAGTTTTCTAGTATCAAGAATAAGAAATGCAACCGAATATTAAGTGCTAGAAAATGATCTACGTATCATGGACATTGAACATATTCTGTGCTACTACTTTAACAGAGCATGTCTCCTAGGTTACCCTGTCTGCTGAGAGGTGGATGACACATTTGCAAAGTCATGTCAGAAAAGCTGGGGTTTTTTGCATAGTCACTGAGCGGCTAATATAAATATATTTTTTATATAATTTTGTATATACTTGAAACTTGTTTGCTTTTGTGCATTTTTTTAAATTCTGTTAATTATTTGAAACAACAATATATTATAATTAAAGAGTTAATTCTTTATTATGAGACCTTAATGTCTGCACCTTTTTTTACACCTAAATGTTTCTTGTCCTGCCGTTTGGCCTTGTACATTTCCATGTGTGTGCATGTGTGGGTGTGTGGTGACTAAGGGGATTAGAGCCAAGGTGACGCCAGCAGACTGGCTGAGATTACACCTGCGGCAGCTGAAGCTGAACAGGCTTCAGAAGTCACACAGGAGGAGACGGTAGAAGGATGACCGAGGATTAGAATCAGTGATGATGTGAATTCATGTTGACTCAGTTTACAGCAGTTATACTGTAGCTGTTCTTGATACATAATGACGTGTTGTTTGACACAAACTGTAGTATCAACTTGTTCCATCGTTCATTGCGCAGTCTCTTAAGTTCCTCTATACTTTATGGTTCTTGGCATAGAACTTGGTCCGTGTTAGATTTAGTTCACGTTCTGGTCACTGAGTGATGATTCACCAGTTTGTGTTGAAAAACAATTGTGCTGCTAATTGTTTATATTTTATTATATTTTGGACCTCGTGTTTTTTTCTGTTAGGGTACTAGAGCACAAATGCATGGAAGAATCCTTGTAGGATTAATTGTGATACAGCAGAGTTAATCAGATACCAAGATGTGTTCTAGCCAATCTGGTTGTCTTTCAAATGTTTCTAACCCAGAGAGACAAAC